AAATTAGCAACCCAAAAAAAAAAAAAAAAAAAAAAAAAGCTTCACGGTTTACTGTTTGAAAATGAATGAAGTATTCTTATTTTTTGTGAAATTGAATACAGCAATTTTTCATTAAATTAAAATTGTTTTTATAATTCAAATTTGTAGTTTTATGACAATGTTTCTTTTTTGTTTAATATTTTTATTTCATAATAATGATTTTTATTTTATAGTCAATGAATAGGTCAAAAGTAGTGTGAATGTGACCTATGAAAATTCAAGTGAAAAGAGATTTCTGAAATGGTTACTGAAAGAGGTTTGAGCTGGTTCTTGTAAAAAAGTAAAACCCAAAGTGTTTGCCAAATCTGGTGAAGTCATCAGGTGAAAATTCCTGTATTATTTCATATCGCAATATACTGCAGGAAAACAAAATATCGTGATGCCACTTTTTCCCCCAATATGATTTAGTCCTATTTACAGGATTCATTTACTTCTCTGAACTGTGTAAAAGTGTGTTATGGCAAATTTGACTACAACCAAATCAAAGCAATGGTGTCATCCATGACAAAACATGACATCAAATGCTAGACAAATGCTAAATAATTGTTTTGAGCAAACTATTGCTTTAATTATGTGACTGCAACAGCAATGGAGACCGCAAAGCAAAAATGCTTGAATTTATAAAGTGCTCCAATTTATACGTTCTCTGTATATAATGTATCGCGTTTGGTCTCGTTCTGTATCGTGTATCTTGTCAGTGTCTGCGCTTGCTTGGCCATTTGTTGCAGAGAAAATAAGGAAAGTGTGTTTGTATGTATGTGTGTGTGGTTGTACATACACATATGTAGTTGTTTTTTTGGTGTTTGGCTTAGTGTTATGTTAGAATCATTATTATACTCTTATACCTTTTGTTCTTTAATATTTTGAATTGTTTTTAGCTTTATTTTTTGTTTTTCATTTCAATGTTAAGTTTTGAAATTTTGTTGTATGCATTTGTCATTTTTATTTAATCTCTTTATTTTTAAAATGTGTATAGGTAGTATTTATAAAGTTTTAGCTTTGGATCTGTTTTTAGTTGTTTTAATACTACAATTGATTGCTTCTGTTGTCCTGACCATTTGTCAGTCGCTTTGGATAAAAGCGTCTAATAAATGACCAAATAAATAAATAATGTTGACAAACATTTAGAGTACTAGCAATCCTGCCCGCTACTAAAATATTCAAGAGTGTTGAGCAAAATGGAGGTGAATGAAAGAGGGGGAAAAAAAAAAAAGCTTTCATGCAAAATGAAAAACAACTGCAGCTTTCAGAAACTCAGCTGATGAAAGCATCCTGCAGTTGTTTAATAGTTTTTCTGGCAATAATCATCTACAAAAACTGTCCAATTAATGAGGAAAAACACATTATCTGCAATTTGCATTTAGTTTCAACTTTGCCTTGTGATATTGCCAATTTCCCTGCAAATATTAAACCCTGCAGCGGATCTCAACAGGCATGTCGGCTATTTTTCAAGCAAGACTCATAATTGCGTTACAGTAAATTCATTTGACAACCCATTTCATTTGCTGCTCTAGGTGACGTCTCTATCCTGCTATGTTCTGAAGAGAAGGGCGAGCTGTCAAACGGCTACTCAAGAGGAAATTCTCAGAGCAGGAAATTCAATCTGCGATCTACTTCAGAGAAAAACATTTAGCAGGCTACACATTTCAATGTTCTATGAAAAAATCAACGAAGCCAGAGCTTTCCCTATCCGATCTTTTTTTTTCTCGTCTCAAGAAATACCTGCGTCCACACGAAAACCACGAAAGCGACACAAAATTTAGTATACATGCCAAACCAGCATGTGGTGCTGTAATTCTGCCACAGAGATACACTAAAACGGAGAAGAAGACTTGGACGATGTGCATAAACCTTGCACGCGGTATACAAACGAACATGGAAAAATACATTTATTAATCTGTCAATGTTAGCTAATAAAAAGACAATCGTTCAGTGTTTGTTCATGTTTTTGTTGCTGTTATGTGATGTAGCGGTGTCTGACTAGGGGCGAGACGTGGGCTGATGACGTCATCGTTTCAGAAAATATATGGATTCGCTGTCCACACGAAAACGCAAGGGTGGCATTTTCAGATTTATCCACTCTGGGACCCGGTTTCAAAAAATATCGGTTTCACTCTCCCAAAACGCCGGACCCGTCTGGACGAAACGCCTATACGATACAAAATGTATGCGTATACAGCTAAACGCGTCTCCGTGTGGACGGGGCCTAAAAGACAGAGGTAAAACTGGATCAAGCAAATGTTAAAAGATTTGTTCTGCAGATGGATCAAAAACAAATAAGAATGTCTGAGATGATAAAGATAAATATTTTAAAATCTAGTTCAAAAAGCAAGTGTAAAGTTCTTAGAAATGTAATATTGGATTTCATATTAAAACACTCGCACTGTTAGGACAGTTACACCACTTGCACACATTTTTGGCCTCACAGAAAACAATCTATTATTGCGTAACACCTAAAAATGCTTTAGGACAAATAATGCATTTTAAAATGATTAATCATGTGGGGTTAACCAATATACATTCATGCATGGAAGGTTTGAATTTGAGGAACCGGACAGATCATGAAGTAAACGCATACTTGCCTCACAAAATAACGTGAGTTTATCATCTGGTAGCAGCCCATTTGCTTCATCAAGCAGAAAATCTCTCCTAATAAATTTTTTGAAGCCCCAGTCTTTGCCTTGGACGAACCGATAAGCTCTTTGGCTTTCTGCATTGGGTCGAGAAGTAAGGGGTAAGTAAGTTACAAACCAAAAGCAATAAGCCAACAACAAACTTAAGTTCAAGACACTTGACATTACAAATTTATGCAGGACTTAAAACAACATGACTCCAATAATTTTATTTCTAATTAAAGCTTTTTTTTAAGACAAAGTTCTCACCCATAGCTTTTGTCTCCTCCCGTTTAGCGTTCAGTAAAGAAAACTTGAACTTTGCTCTGACTTCACTTTTTGGACAACTAACTAGTAGCAAATATAGCGATAGATAATCTTTACTTTCATCATCGAGTCCCTTCGGATTGACCCGTAGGCACCTGAAGACAGACAAAGATGTCTTATAACTTTTGAACATTACAACATTATAACACACAAACACATGCATAGGCTCCTCACCATTTCATCTTATCATTAGGCCCTGAGGAGAAGGTAGAGCTCTTCAATACTTCACCCATCTCTTCTCGACAGAAGCTGAAGTTGTTTATGGTCCACATGTAGGAAAATTTCACTACTTTGACCTACAAGATCAGCAAAGATTACCATCAGTGAAAACTGATAACCGTCAACAAACAAAGCGATGTGCTATCATTCCTAGACAACAACACGCCAAATGCTACAAGAGCAAATGAACAGGCAGCTTTCAACTTCAAATGTGACTTTTTACTAATATCTGCGTCATTTGTAAGCAACTAAATAGCTCCTATTCAACTTTGCATTGCATTTGCCTGAGGTTAAGTCTTACCCGTCGGAAATTAGTCTCAGTATCGTTTTACCGTATCTGATAAACCAGCATGACCACATTATGATGACTGCTTGAGTTTCATTATCACTTGCACAATGAAGTGTCACCCTATCTACTTTAATGCACTGATTACCCTCCATTAGATCAAACTGTGCACAGCACCATAACAAGCAAGAGATCAAAATACATGCATTTGCTCAAGCCACACTTGTCATTTCAGAGAGCCATATTAAGGCTGAAAGAAATGGTCAAATTTATTAGTATTAAGGCTGGGTATCGAGTTCGATACTTTTTAGGAACCGACCGAAATGCCTTGATACCATCGAGTATCGAAAAATGTCTCGTCGCTCGGTACCAAATTTCCATACCTAAGGGGTTAATCTCATCAGCGTCAGTGAGCCAATAAGCCTGCAGCACTAGCCGATGTGTTCGTCTAGAAGAGGTGCGGCGCAGATCGATCAGTGTTCGATCAAAAAGGCTACATTTACACTGGTGCGCTTATGTTTTAAAATGAAAACGATCCTCGTCATACAGGCGTTTCCACTGCGTTTCAAGCCGGCTTTCCACTATCTCCGACAAACGACAGACCGGTCATTCATTTCCAATGGAGAGTAGCGCGGGAGCTGCGTGGAGTTCCGATCATATGCAGATGTCCGTTCATACTACACGAGTGAAAGCGCGTGTTATGTGACCATTCATGCAAACTGTAGCATCATGCTACATAAGACAATAAATAAGATTTATATTCCGCTTTTACTCAAAACTCACTTTAAACCACCATCGAGTGTTTGTAATAACTTCCGATTGCCGTCTAATGTGTGTTTTGGCCATGTAATGTTGCTGAAATTAAATATGTTATTACCTCTGACTGAGTCAGAGCAGCGATCATGGAAGAGAGAACACAGGCAGACAGCGCTGGAAGCTGCTAATGCTCATCAGTAAATCAGTGGAAAATAAATAGAAATTATGATTCTGTCTGAGCTATGCGTTTTAAAACGAACACGCACTAGTGTACATGTAGCCTAACAGATGTGTAAACTGAAGACTATTTGAGCTTTATTAAAACTATTTGCACTGATTTATTGTGTTGGTTACATTTTGTTCCTTTGTGCAGTGGCTCAGGAGATGAGTCTTTGAGTTTGTATAAACATCAACAAGCTGAAAAATAAAACCAAAGTTTTTTTTTTTTAGATAATGTAATCTTGTTCAAATTGATTTAATAAAATTGGTATCGAAAAAAGCATCGTTCAGGAACCGGTATCGAAGTCGAGGTATCGGTATCGAAAATTTTTGAACGATACCCAGCCCTAATTAGTATAGTGCTTTTCAAAATAATTTTAAAGCAGCTTTTCAGAAAATCAATGTTTTTAATATTTTAATATCTTCATTCCTTAAAGTCGTATTTAGCAGATTAGTGCTGGGTGATAACAGTTTACATTTTGCAACAATACAAGAAATCAAGCAGTTAAGATTTGCTATATTGTACATATCACCCTAGGTGAATATGCTGTATGCATGCAGATAACTTTGGACATAATTATATAACCAACTTTATATAAAGAGGCAGCGATAACATTTTGTGACGCAATAATATATATATAGCTTCACGTAAGTGTACTGTATTTATGTGGATGAAGTTGTATGCGACGTATATTCAACTTTACATACCCGTACAGAGCTGTGCGATAATACAGTTTACATTTTGCAATGATATAAACAATCACGCAGCTGAGACCTGCTATATAAACAGCTTCTAGAATACTTCAGCAAAGTCTGTACATGACTACTTGAGCTGTCAGTCCATCTCACCTGGGTATAGCACCAGCTCTCAGCCACAGGCCCACTGGACATCTCCCCTGGAGGAGGAGGGGTTGGGACCCCTGACATGGCCAGCTCACTCCCCACTACAAGAAGAGCTGATGGTCCCAAAGCTTTCACCACTTAACGTTTATGGAAACAGAGCAAAGGCATCGTTTAAGAAAAATAAACAGCAGCAATTTCTGCCTCTCCTCCTGACCTGAAAATATCAAATCTTTGACTTTGCCATCAGCAAGCCAGTTTGTGGTCAAATGAGAATCATTGCTAACCCCAACTCAGGGCACAGAATCTATCAAAACGCTTTTAGGTGTCAAAGTGGAGGAAGGAAATGAAAGAATATAAGCTTATGAAACTTATGACACCGGAAGCGTGCAATATCACAATCCAGTCTGTAGTGTGACAGAACATCACCGCAAAAATGTGTTTTAAACCCATGAAAATGCTTACGAGAAATTAGCACTCTAAATATAAACGTGCTTGATGATGCCAAAAATCATCAGAATCAGTTAAGTCCAAACTAAGTAGTGACTAAATGGCTTGTTGGCACAGGCCTGACAGGCAGGTCTGAACTTGCCCTTGTTGACAAGGTATAGTCAAGGGCACATTAGTTGTATTTTGGTAAACCAACAGACAAATCCGCCTCACTATATTTCACTCTTAACCAAACAATTTAAAAAAACAAAAAAATTTTACAGAACAAAATCTGAGTTAAAATGATAACTGCACACCACCCTCCAACTCACCTAAGCTTCAGTAAATATCTTGAATTTCATTTCTTGATGCCATTGTACACATGTATCAGGTAAAACTGAAGAAACAAGTTTGTGTTTTACTGTGACTTTACAGCATGATCCAAGAGCTCTTCATCCCAACCTGTGAATATAAATACATATCTTTCATATGATACACTTTGCCATTTCAATCCTCTCTTAAGCATTAATCAGTCCCTAATTAAAATAAGATCAGTACTTCACGACATTATCAAGGCAAATAGCAACTGAAATTACATTTGTAAATAAAAAATAGGCCTATATTATGACATATACCCAACATTCACAGCTATATGACTTCTGAATAACATTGATTGAACTCTAGACTGTCACTGATAAACATTACGATATTTACAACATAACTTAAGTTCAGTGAGCTCCTAAATTGAGTTGACAACCAATTTAACCCAGGCCACTGAAATTTAAAAAAGTTTACTATACACATAACAGATTTAATTTTTTGTTGTTCAGTTATGTGCATTTGTTTAAATCAGAATGTTTTCTGGGCTTGGTCAACATGGCAAAAAGAATTTGGTTAGCCATAACGCAAACATCAAATCTTATGAAAAGAATTGTGTGGTCAGCTTCTATTGTTTAATTCTTCATTGGCTACATATCATTAACTGAAAGCCCAGTATATCAATGAAACAATGTAGTATTTTAGAGACAAAAGGAATCATGTCTTTTGTTTGAGCTAATCAGATTCTTGTCGGCTAGTTGGCTATGTGGTTAGCAAGCTAAACTACATCCACAACACTGACAAAAGTAGATCAGTTAAAGCACAAACCTTTTCTCGTCATTCTGTCAAAATATTGTTAAATTCAAGGTTCGGACGGTCCTTGTGGATCTGCTAAGTTTAATCGGCACTATTTAAGACTGAAGTGTATTTGTGTCTTTTCAAAAGCAGCCCATCACAGTAGCTTGCAGTGTGCTGCTTATCCTGCCAATGAAGGAAGCGACAGCACAGGAGCAGACATGGCTGCGCTCCACTCACTCCTCAGGCGGTACGTAAATCCGCCGAGCGGGGGCACACATCGGCCCAACAACACAGACGTGTCCATTACAGATCAACTGGTACCCGAGATAGAGCGCAGGGATGTTACTACTTTGTAATATACATCTTTCTCCATAGAACTAAATATGTTGGAAGCGTATATCATGTTTGTTAAACTTGAGGAAACTTAGAATTATCTCTCAGCGCTTACCATTAGTCAATTGTGATTGGCTCAAAATGGCAAGCGTTGAGAAAAGTAACACTTCCACACAACGACGACTTAACATTTATCCACTCAACATTTTTTCCATTTATCCACTCAAAAATATCATCCTGGGACCAAGGCATAGACTTTTGTCCTTTGTAGAGGACATAATATATTATAGTGAATTTCTCTGAGACCATATACATGCCGCAGTTTTAATTCTGGATGTCCTGCACAAAGCATTCAGGGCCTTTTAGAGATATCAGATGTTTGGAGGTTTGATCTCCTTGGTCTTTAAATATGACTGATATTGACAGAATTATCAAGTTTAGCACTCTTAGGGAAATATGGCAATGTTTTGTAATTATCATTAATTTTAAATTTGTTTGTTGTAAATAAACATTTCAGAAAAATGTTATGGGGTTTCAAATCAGAACATATATAAAAAAAAACACCCTTTTTTATAACCTTTATTTTTATTAAGTGTATAAAGAAACTTTTTTTGTAACTGAAAGCTTCCATGGATGTTAAAGGTTCCTTAGGGAACCATCAATGCCAATAAAGAACCTTTATTTTTGTATTGCATATACACAATATAGTGTATAGCACAATTTTGGATATATATTGTGAATATACTATCATTTTGATAATGTGCGTCATAACATGTATCATCTGTTTTGAAAGCAAAACAAGAAGCATAAATAATCTCTGCTTTTGTGACAAGTTCTGCTTTGATTGCCAGTAGTTGAGTGCAGATGACTCTTCCCTCTCGCTGTCCTCCGCAGTGCTCTGATGTCATTCTCCTGACAAACAAAAAGGAGCTTTGGGTAAGCCACTCTGAAACAATGTGCTGTGATTATACCCTGGAGGCCTGTGATAACTAATTCCTATTCACATCAGCATGGAAGTGTCTCACTGCTGAAGTAAAAAATGACCATGAATTTAACGGTAAAAGACTGTAAAAACAAAGAGTTAAAAATTTAAGGGGGTCTGAATACTTTCCGTACCTACTGTATGTTATTATTTAAAAGCTGCTTGTGATGGGCTTTGGTTCATCATGTGACTTCCTCATCACCACCTGCATTTGGTGGTTATCAGTGTATTACAAAGGTACAAAACAGATTTCAGTACTTCAATAGGTTGGTATATTAACATTATATCAGTTAATGAAATTACGGTATTTAACTGTAAATTTAAGTTAAAACCATAAAACCTAAAACATTGCTACCATATTTTTTACGGTAAAATTCCGGCAACCAGAGCTGCCGGTTTTTTACCGTAAATTTTACGGATTTTTTTTTACAGTGTACACCATTTTTCACATGGGTCTCGTGCTTTGCAAAGCTGTTTCATGGTTAATATGCCTTGATCATGAGGTTGAGTTCATTGTTAACTGTGAATAGTAAAGACATTACATTTTGAGAATAAACTGAAAGTTAGAGATGTCTGTTCTCCATTTCAACACAGGCTGGACAAAGCCCTATAATAAAATTACCACTAGCTGACGGCAAAGTCTTTGAAATATTGATTCCACACTATACACATTAGACATTGGCATGTGAAAATGGTGTCTTCATGTAAAAACAAACCTTAACAAACATTACATTTTTTTTTTTTATCTCGAGTTTAAAATATTCTCAAGAGATGGAAAAGTGAAGAAAAAAAAACAGTCATCAACACCTCCAGAATGGTGGTTACTTAGTATCCACGAATACTGTAAAGTTGCAAACTGAAAACAAGTGCAAATCAGAGCAACAGAAATTAAGAATAATGTCTTAATTGCACAGATCAGCCATTCTCTTTTGAACACTTAGCAGATTGAAATGAAGATCTTCTGCTGACAAGGGCCAAGGTCACAATGGATGTGAATACAGTTAAATGATCATTATACAGTTTGACAGGCACTAAAATGTCTAATTTTGTGTTTTATTCTTGGATGTTGCTTTAAACTTGTGCTGTAGTAATTACAGCCTAAGACAAGGGAAGTAATCTGTATACTGGAGCTGCTAGTTAACAAAAAAAAAAAAAAAGCTTAATATACAGTCAACAGAGTTTATGAGTGGACCTTTTCAGCTAATATTCAGATTTTTAAAACATTTACACTTTGTACATTCTTGTTGTTCAATTGTCTTTACTGAAAAATATGAATCATTTAATATTATACACACACACTTAAGTTCAAAAGTTTGGGGTCAGAAAGATTTTTTTTAAATATTTTGAAATAAGTCTCTTATATTATTACAATAAAAAAAAGAAAAGAAAAACAGTGTTCTATTTGAATATATTTTAAAATATTCTTTATTCCTGTGTTTATTCCCTATTTCCCACACAGCTATAGTCTTCAGTGTCATATGATCATTCTAATATGCTGATTTTGTGCTCAAGAAACAATTATTTTTATCAGTGTTGAAAACAGCTGTGCTGTCCAATATTTTTATGGAAACTGATGATTTTTTTTTTTTTCAGGACTCTTGATGAAAAAATATATATTTTTTTGCATAATGTTTTTCCTCATCTGCTGATAATATTTAATAAGAAGCAATATTTTACCAATTACATGATGAAATAAGCAAATTATATGAATTCACCAGAATGGCAGGCAAGCAAGTCACACAGAGAAAAACATTTACTGAAAGATATACAGAATGACAACTCTATAAATAAAAAGGTACATCTGACATCTGTACCACATCCAAACTGGATGCCAGTGCTATCAAGACATTGCTATTATTATTTTTTTTTTATATGTAGCAAAAAGCCTCCCTCAGGCTGAATGACAAGACAATGATGACCATGGAAAATAGGAATACTGTGACCAGCTGACCCTGGACTGACCTAATCAGGCCACAGATGTCAAGACGACAGCAAAATACAGAAGTTTTTTTTTTATCAGTTTTTTTAAGCCAACTGAATGAACGTTGATGGATTCTGAATGCTTTGCTCTCTCTGCCTTCTTTTATATTTGTAATCCCTCTGTGAGTCACAATGAGAAATGTTTTCTGTCATTCATAACAGCTACCACAAAGAGAAAATATACCGCAATTTTTAACAAGTTTTATCGATTTTTTAAAAATGTATTTAGACATTCATGCCCCCTGACCTGTACCTGCATAGTAAGGAATTTCAGAGCAATTTAAGGTTGCTGTACTACCTAAATGTAAAGAATACATGATGTGCACTTGAGTGTTAAATGTTATGGTATTGTATGTTAAATGACATTGAAATAAAACGAAATTTATGGTAAAAAATACAAAATTAATTAATTAATGAATGAATAAATAAATAAATAAAACAAGCATAATTATTTAAATAAAACAATCATATGCGATGTGTCACGCAGGGAATGTCCTTTTACTGTTTGACACTATAAATGATATGGTAATTATGGTGGTAATCACAGTATGTACTTCCAAAAACCAAACATTTCACAGTATTTTACAATAAAATTATATATAATGTGATGTTTGACCATTTAAAGTATTTGACTGTATATAAGTTAACCAGTTCTAAATCACTCAATGCTTTACACATCTGCCACAATAATGTCTTTGACAGCATCATCATTTTGACAAATATATGCAATTTATTTGATAAATTAATCTGCATTTCATGCAATTAAATGGATAAAAAGTGTTATATATTGACAGCCCTAAAATCAGTATAAAACAGTCTGATTTATTACAAATATGCATCTATGACTCAGATGCAGACTGCAGATGTCATGACAGGTAAGCTTATATATAAGAAAATGAGTTATTCTGTTTATTGGATGGAACATTCCACTGTCCCTGACTCTAGCAATGTCCCTTTGAAAGTCTCAGTTGAATTTAATTTAAATGCATTTAAGAGGAGTTTCAAAACTCATTTTAAAAAGACTAAAGATGAAGGACACATACAGTTCAGTCCTGGTTAGGGGAAAAATAACCTGCTGTCTATGGGTGAGATGAAAAAATTAAACTGCTGATATATTTATCCAATACACACACATCTAATTTTGATGGTAGTCTCTGTGCATCCATCATTATATGCAAATAAAGCAGCAATATGTTTCTTTTTGAGTGTGGACAGGCAGTGATGTGCACAGCTGGATCAGTGGGAGCCTTGAAGCCCCTCAGAGCCACACAGAACATTTCACACCCGAGCTAGCAGAGCTGCGCACACACACATACTAACAGCTCTCTGCATGTATAATGAGCTTGATCCTGTTAAATCTATCATTCCCAGAGTCCATGCATGCAGCCCCTTTAATCTCTTTAACAACTGTGTTGGCTGCGTAGAAGCATGGCAGAGACTGGCCCAGTGTTCAGATCATCTGAGTCTTCCTTCTCTCACTAATCCACTACTCAGTTGAACCCAGGCATCTCAGCATTAGAAACATTTACAGATTCCACCAAATCAAGGGTTTAAGCAATTGAACAAATATTACACATCATTTTGACATTTTTTTTTTAGCAGCGAATAAACACAAGGTGTGAAATTAAACAAAATACATGGATGGATGGATGCATGAACACAGACTTTTGCAATCATAATCTATTGCAAGAGGACTGTGCACATAACCAGTCCTGAACCAGTGACTTAAGGCTATCCAAGATGTAGATGAGTTTGTTTCTTCATTAGAAAAGATTTCGAGAAATGTAGCATTGCTCACCAATGGATAATCTGCAGATGTTTCTAACTTCAAACCGTTGCTTCTGGCTAAAATCCTCTATCTATAATATTGCTTTGCCTTGTGAAAAAAATCATCTTGTCTGAATCAGGAGAGAAA